TGATATTTTTCATAGAAATAGAAAAATTAATCCTAAAATTTACATGGACTCACAAGACCCTGAATAACCAAAGCTAGAGGTCACAGTACTTGATTTCAAAATACACTACAAAGGTCTACTAATCAAAACCATATGGTACTGTTGTAAAACAAATTCATTGACCAACAGAACACAGCAGAGAGCCCATAATTAAATACATGTATTTCCAGTCCTTTGACTTTTTAAAAAGGTATCAAGAATATACAATGGGAAAAAAACAGTTTCTTTAAAAATAGCTTTGGGACAAATGGATATCCATATGCAGAATAATGTAATTATACCCTTACATCACACTTTATACAGAAATCAACCCGAAAGGAATTACAAAGTTAAATGTAACACCTGAAACTGAAAAAACTACTAAAAGAAAACATAGGAGAAAAGCTCCTTAACATTGGTCTGGAGAATGATTTGTAGATACGAGTGCAAAATATGTTGGTCACAAATAAGTTAGGAGAAATAAGTTCAAGAATAAGTTCAAATATATTGTCTAACCTAGTGACAAAAAATAGCAATGCATTTGCATTCTTAAAAATTGCTGAGGCTGGAGATGTAGCTCAGGTATGGAATGCTTGCCTACCATGTATGAGGCTCTGGGTTTGTTCCAAGGTACCACCAATGCCCCTCTCCCCAAAATACCCCAACAAAACAAAACACAAGACAAAATTGCTTAGAGAGTAGATTTGAAATATCACCACCAGCACCAAATAATAATAATAATAATAATAATAATAATAATAATAATAATAATAATATAATATCCTAATGTTAATTAGCTTGATTTAGTTATTCCATAATGTATTCATATTTCAAATCATGCACAATACACATAATTTTCATTTGTCAAGTAAATATAGACTTGAAAATATAAAGAAAATGTTTAACATGCATGGGGCTTTTATGTAAAATATCATTATTTCTATTTCATCTTTTATACTTTAATTGAACATTCTATGTTATCCTTAGCGTTTTTTCAGATTGTTTTTTTCTAACATAGGAGATACTGAAAAACAGATTTATAGAATGTTTATTTTCTAATTATAAATAATACCAACGTATTATTAAGAATAAAAAGAATGTGAAAAGTGTACAAGAAATAAAATCAGCCCAAAATCATGCCAACCATTGATAATTACTATTAAAATTTTGGTGAACTTCTCATTCCTTGTATACCACTTGGCATGATAGCAAATAAATACTCATCATTAAATTTTGACTTTTAGGCAATGACATCAAAAATCTGTCAACCTTACGTCAAAGTCCTTTATTATTCCAGCCTACAGATATAGCTTAATATTTTACTCATTCTTATCTTTTTGGATATATATTGCTTACGGTTTTTATCATATATTTAATTCTATAAAGAATGACTCTTCTTACAAGTCATTCTTTGCAATTCAAGAAATTTACCAAGAATCTCAGAAATAAAATAACTAGTAAAATGTGGTGAACTTTGTTAAAGGATTTGATACATACCGGGAATTGTTAAAAATAAAATTGCTCCATTTTACATCCAGATCAGAAGTGCATGAGAATTCTAGTCTTACCATATTCTCACAACAGTAGATAGCTCCCTTTTAGAGACATTTGTCTTTGATGAAAGCTTAGCTTTTCCACTATCTAGCTACGCAGTTTTGGTCAAGTTCTTAACCTCTCTTGAATCAGTTTTATCATTTGAGTATCAGGTCATAAAAAATAAACACCTTTTTTGTAGATACTGTGAGGATGGATGGAATAACGTGAAGCATTAGGAAAGATACTGGCACATGCTAAATATTCATTATTACAGTCTCTATTACTTGAAAACTGAAGATTTTTTGGTTAAGAATAACTTGACATATAAATTAATAAAATAGTAGGATGAATAATTACTATTAATCATTTATCAGGATTTTTAATAAAGGCAGAGTAGTTTGTACTGGACCAATTCTCCTGTAGACACTAATAATAAACCCCAAACAAATATATATTTTAAAAATCAACTCTCTAAAAGCAGTGGAGAATGAACAAGCAGATAGAAATGAGAGGGCAGTTGATACCTGGAAGAATGGGCAGCACAGGACTTGCATTCTAAGTGCTGACTGAAGTTCTTTAGGCTGTAGGAAACTCAGAACCTCAGCACCAGAAGCAGGAAATATAGATAAATATAAAAGACTGTTTCTATTTCTTTAAAGTACTCATACTTATTTAATAAATTCAATTTAAAGACCCCAAATACAGCAGGAAAAGAAAAGCAGAGGGACCAAAAAAAAAAAAAAAAGAAGGACCAAGCAGAAACTAAATAACAAAGTGTTCAATCTAAATCCTCTCATTTTAATAAGTCCATTGGTATAGGTGGACTGCCTGCCTCACTAAAAGGCAGAAACAACAACAACAAAAATAGAGCCAACCATTTGCTGTCTACAAGGAACACTACTAATGTACAGGATACCTGTAGGTTGAACGTTATATGTCATATTTCATACAGACAGCGATTGACTATATAAGCATACAAAAACCCAATATTATTAGTTTTGGGGACAAAGAGTATCACTAGAAATAAAGATGACTGTTTCATCCTGATAGAAGAATCATTTTATCAAAAACCATAGCAATCATACATGTGTGTACACTTATACACACATGTACCTATAAATGAAGCAAACTTTGACAAATTAAAGGGGAAAATGGAAAAATCCACAGTCAAAATTAGAAATTTAATAATTGTCTCAGTAGTTGTTACATGAACTATATGATAAAAATGGGCAAGGATCCAGAGGATCTAAATAATGTTTTCATAGTAATGTATTTGAGCCATCACACCACATTATCAGATAATTATATATGATTGCAACTTTAAATAAAAATAATAAATGATTTTTAGAATGATAGAATTATTTTCTGTGCTCAAAATTTTTGGTAGAAATAAAATAAGCAAAGTCTGATTTAAGAGGAAAGACTAAGCACATATTGAGGTCTCAATATTTTGCCATAAAAATCCTATAAAACACAGAAAAGAACTTCACAAATCTATTTCTGGGGAAACAGAAATTCCTTAAATGAACCAAAACTAATGGAAAATCTCCAGAAAAATGAGATTAAATCAAGATGAGATTAAATTAAGAAAGGAAATCATAGCTCCAAACCAGATAAGTGTTCTGGAAAAGATGGAAGCCATAATACAAATATACTTTCCATCCTCAAAGAGATGCTGGTGGCATTAATGAATCAAGTAGAGATCCTGGAAAGTTGAAATTTTATTGTTCAATATGCAACAGTCAATTGTGCTCCTCTACACCATCAATAAGCAATTAGAAACTCTCATTTTAAAAAGAACAGCCTATACAAACAAAATATTACAGCAACATGTAATTATAAGGTACATAGGAATAAATCTAACGGAAAATGTTCAAGACCTGTAGGCAGAAACTATAAGATTTACTGAAAGATTTGAAGAAGATGTAAATAAATATATATCCAATGTTGCTCAACAGAAAAATATAAATGTCAGTTTTTCCAACTGGACTTATGTAAGTTGAGGTCATGCTTATAGAACTTAACCAGGGTTTTTTTTTTTTTTTTCAGATTTGATAGGCTGACTCCAAAATGTGCAAGGAAGAGTGAAGAGCTACGATGGGGCCAAATCTTCTGAAGTGAAACAAACAATGGCAATGTGACCTGCAAGCTTTCAAGAATAATTTTGAAGCTCTGTCAGTAGTAACAAAGTAGTGTTGGCACAAGGAAGACAAAGTGGTCAATGGAACAGAACAAGAGCCCCAAAAGGGACCTTCACTTGGTTGACCTTTTGAGATATGAGGTGGCATGCCCTAGAAAGAAAGGACTACATTAAACAAAAGGAGGTGGCTATCTATATGGAAATAAAAGAACAACAGAAAGAAACAAAAACAAAATAAAGCACATGCATTGAAAGGTTAAATGTCAAAAGTAAGATTTTTTATTAGAACTTCATAATTATACATAGTAGTTGGGTTCACTTGGACAAATCACACATGCAAGGAATTTGATTTCTATTCCCAGCCCCCCTTTCCTTCCTCCCCGCTCCCTCCCGCTAATCTCCGTCGGCTACTCAACTAAATTTTCTTTCTTCTACATATACATAAAAGTGAATTTCCCTTTGGCACCTCTATATAAGAATCTAAAATGATTTTATTAAATTCATTCCATTTATCTTCCTCTTTCCCTTCCTTTCTCACTCTTGACCTCCTTCTTCTACTCCAGTGATTTTCTCTGTGTCTTTCTGGTATCCCATCTCCTCCCAAACCATCTTCAATCCTGTGCTTTGCTCTAGCTTTCACATATGAGAGAAAACATTCCACCTTGATTTTCTAAGTCTGGCCTGTTTCACTTAGCATGATTTTTCTCTATTTCCATCGATTTACTGACAATTTCCTTGTTCCAATACTACACAATGGCAAATACCATTATTTCATTCTTCTTTATGGCTGAGTAAGACTCCATTATGTCTATGTACATGTTTTCTTAGTCCATTCATCTACTGATGAACATCTGGGTTAATTCCAAAATTTGACTATTGCGAACAATGCTGCTATAAACATTGAGGTGATTGTATTTCTATGATATGCTGATTTTAGATTTTCAAAAGCAACATTTAAAATTTCAGTAGATTATTTAGACAAGTAATCTAATGTTGGAGTGTGGAAATATTTCTCTTCACAGTAAGAAGGCAGATAAACTTTACTATATGAAAATAAACATATTTTGTTCTTCAGATGTTTTGTAAAAGAAGGTGAAAAAACAGGGTCTGTGTGTAAACACACACAGTGTTACCCTCTCAAATGCTGCTTAATGCTTTTCAGTCACTCTGCTTCTTAAAAAGTGTGCACGCCTTTGAAACTCCCCTACTACGTTTTATAGGTCTTGAAGTTTGGACTTTCCTAGAACAGGTGAGGTATCAAGTAAAAATATACTTTTTGCAAACACAGAAAGAAAGCAATTCCTACCTTTGTGTACTTTTGGAGAACTGTAAAAGTGATCAAGAAGGCTAATATAAGCAGCAGTAGCCACAGTAACTTCTGATTGGTCACAGTTGTTTTCATGATCAGGACCCTACAAGAGACAACAAAACAAACACACAATGCAACAAAACAGAAAGAAAAACATGGAAACACCCGAAGTTCTTGTGCCTCCTCGGATGAGTTCTCCCAGAGGTAAACCTTGGCCCTCCCAGCTGCCCTTGGTCTCCCCCAGCAGCTGTTCATGGTGATCAGCTTGTACTTTGCCCAGGAAAGTTATTCCACACAGCCCACCATGGACTCTAAGGAACTGAGCAGCTAAGCACCTACAGGGTGCAGGGATGCTCATGGTTAAGGTGAATCCTCCAGCGTATGTCATCTCAAGTGCCTCCTATTCTCTTCCTTAAACATCATGAGCAGACAAAAGCTTGAGTAAATACTGACCCTGAGATTAATATTAACTCAGTGACCTGCTTATATAAATTGATCATTCAGCCTCCTCAATCCCTGTCTGTAAATTTGTTCCTTTTTGTTGTCTTACTCCGAGACTTTCTGGCACCCATTAACCTTGAAAATAATTATTTTAAAACTCATGTTTATTACTTCCTTTTAAAATTATTTTAGGCTTTATCAGTGTTTCTCTTCAATTTATATAATTTGTCTTTGATCTGGAATTCAACTTGTGATTTAAAATCAGATTGCTTTGGCTGAGGGCATCGCTCAGTGGTAGAGTGCCTGTCTAACATGCTCAAGGCCTTGGGTTTGATCCTTGGCATCATAATAAGTAAATAAATAAAATCCAGTTGCTTGAATGATGCCTTTCTAAAATGTTTTATCCCTGAAAATTTATTTCCCCTCCTAGAAGCAACTCCTACCCTGTACTCTCAGTTTACACATAGACGTTAGAAGTTTCTGCACTCAAGAATAAATGTCACCACTCTCTCTCACCTGCTCCACTTAGAAAATGTTTTCTTACCTTTAGTTGTAAAGACTTCTTCAATCCTACACCTAGGAACTCCTGTGAGCAGGGTGTGGAGGTTTTCTCCTGAAGCCCCAGTGTGTTACTGAGGCACCTCTTCTTTGTAACAAAATAAATCACAAGTTGTAGACTGGATACTTATTTTAAAAATATTTTTTAGTTGTAGTTGGACACAATATCTTTATTTTATTTATTCATTTTTATGTGGTGCTGAGGATCAAACTCAGTGCCTCACACCAGCTAGGTGAGTGCTCTACTGCTGAGCCACATCCCCAGCCCCTGGGTACTTTTTGCTTGGACTTGCAACCTTCTGTGTAATTCAGCTTCAAATTGTCAGGCAACTCCACCTTAAGGAGGGGCCTGGATCACAAAGGTTAATCATCACTTCAAGGCGAACAGGCAAGAGAAATAAATGCTCTGAAAAGTAGGTGAAATGATTTCAATGTCTTAAGACTTTAGGAGTCTAATTCTAGTAAGGACATGATAAATACCTGAGAAGACAAAAAGAAATGTAGCCAGAAGTTCAAGTGATTGAGAGTAAACAGTCATCCATGGAGAACTGAACTTCCTATTTTCCATGTGAACCTTGTTATGAAGGCCCCATTGCCTTGTTTTGAAGACCCGGTTGGGTATTATCTTATGTTCAATAAAATTTGCTGAATTGAACTGAAAGTACCTCAAATACAATACAGGCAAGACATCTCAGAGTGAGTACATTTGTGAATTCTAATTTGGAAGACCAGGGTGATATCTATACAGGAATTCTGAAGTCTGGTCTTTCAAGATGAATCCAAGTCGTATAGACTAAAAACTGTGTCAAGCCCTCATGTGTGATGCTAGGTTCTAAAAGGACTCTGTGCTTGAAAAGAAATGGCTCCCAGATATTCCAGGCCAAGACTTAAAACACTTTAGCATTTCAGCAATTAAACTAGAACAATTTGGAAAAACAAAGCAGATGTCCTTAGGATAAAAAGGAGATTGTGTTAGGTCAAACAGAGCCAGTCTTTTGTATTCATTGGTTCTGCAACTGAGAATTCAACCAACCAAGATGGAAAAGTTTTGAAACAGGACACTGCATATGTACTGGACATGTACAGACTTTTATCATTAGTCCTAAAACAGTACAGCATAAAAACTATTTATAAAAAATACTGCAACACTTGGTGCAACCACTAAACATTTTTTCTTAAAAGAGACATAAATGATAAAATAATAATGAATATTAAATAAAATAACTTTTAAAAGTTCAATTAACCCAACATAAGGGAAAGGAAGGAAGGGAGGGAGGAAGGAGAAAACAGCTCTCAGGATAGCAGATTTAAATCCAAAGACAGAAATAGTGACCTGATATATGAATGTTCTGATCCAGAGATAGACAAACTTTTTCTGTAAAGAGGCAGATAATAAATCTTTCAGGAGAATGAAATTATAAATAAAAAATAAAAATGGGTATATTAAAATGAAACAGAAGGGGTACAGTGAGAAAGCTAGACCAAGCTGCTCCCTGCACCACAGGCTGGGAAGGTCAGGCATGGTCTCAATCCTGCAGATCCCAGACCCAGGGCTTGAAGCCCCACGAACCTCCCCTCTCCTCACCTGGATGACCGATGGCCACAGCTGTACAGCCCAGATCCTGCTGGCTGCTGGATGTCTGGATGCAACCCTGTCCCACCCAGGCAAAGTCAAGGGAGGACATGGCACATTTGGGTGTCAGCGGCATAACTTGGGAAGAGACTTAGTGACGACCAGAGAACTATGAGGGCAGTTGGGGATTTGTTTGTTGTTTGGTTTGGTTTTTAAACTTGTAATTTATGGAGTATTTACCATAGATAATAGCAAATAGTCCAAAATTTCCAACAATGGAGGACTGAATACATTAAAGTATAGCATATGTTGAAATTTATACAACTATGAAAACATGAAAAATCATATTTTCAAAGAACATTGACTTGTAAGGCAAAGTAGAATATTTTTAAATTTTTTCTTTTTATTTTCTCATTTCCAATATTTTCTGTTCTTTTTATTAGTGCATTTTAATTATACATAATTATAGAATTCATTACTACATATTAGTACATGCAAGTAATATAACAATATAATTTGGTCAGTTCCAATCCTCAGTACATTTCCTGTTCCTCCCCTCTTCCCTCCCCTAGTCCTTTTTATCTTTGCTCTCTGCCTTCCTTCAATTTTTATGAGACCCACCTCTCTTTCTTTTTCTTTCTAACTTCCACATATGAGAGAAAATATATGTGCCTTGACTTTCTGAGTTTGGCTTATTTCATTTAGCATAATGCTCTCCAATCCCAATTATTTTCCTGCAAATGATATGATTTAATTCTTCTTTGTGGCTGAATAAAATTGCATTGTATATATGTACCATACATTACCCATTTACCTGTTGGTGGACACCCAGGCTATTTCCATAATTTGGTTATTATGAATTGTGCTGCTATGAACATAGGTATGCATATATTGCTTAGTATGTGACTTTAATTTTTTAGGATAAATGCCAAGCAGTGGCATAGCTGAGTCATGTGGTGATTAAATTCCTAGTCTTTTGAGGATGTTCCTTACTGATTTCCATAGAGGTTTTACTAATTTACAATCCCACCAACAGTTTAAAGGTGCTCCTTCCTCCTCACAAAAACTTCTCCAGCATTTTTCATTATTTGTATTCTTAACAACTGCCATTCTGACTGGAGTGAGATGAAGTTTTAGTGTAGTTTTGATTTGCATTTCTGTAATTGTTAAAAGCGTTGAACATTTTTTCATATATTTATTATCAACCACTGCTTTAGACAATAATAGAGCCACACAGATCTGGGTCCACTCTATGGCTGTTGGGCCAGACCTCATTTTGTCCTAACAATGACCATCAAAGACCTTAATGGTCCTGGAAGGTGAGCAAAGCCCCCAGACAATAACAGGAATAGTCAGTGGCCATCAGACAGATTGTCTTCATTTTATCAAAGAGAGAAACAGTGAGTAACATACCACGTTTTGCCAACTGGAAATGCCCACCACTCTCTGGGATATTTACTGCCCATTTGGAGATGATATCTTGTAAAGTAAGCCCTCCTTTGTTATTATAATTTTTCAGGTCCATGTACCTTTTCCTCATATGCTGTTAAGAATCAATAAAATCAGCATACTACAGTGATGTAGCCCCATCAATGTTTATAGCAGCTCAATTCACAATGGCTAAACTATGGAAATGACCTAAGTGCCCGTCTACAGATAAATGCATAAAGAAAATATGGTATGTTTACACAGTGGAATATTTTCAGCCATGAAGAAGAATAAAATTATGACATTTGCTGGCAAATGAATGGAACTGGAGACTATCATGCTAAATAAAATAAACCAATCCCCCCAAAGCAAAGGCCAAGTGTTTTCTCTAATATATGAATGTTAACTCACAACAAGGTTGGGGCTGTGTGGAACAATAGAAGTACATTGAATTAGACAAAAGGGAATGATAGGAAGGAAGGGGAAATGGGAATTAGAAAGATAGTAGAATAAATCAGACATTACTATCCTATATGCATATATGATTATACAACTAATATAATTATATATCATGTACAACCAGAAGAAAGAGAAGTTATACTCCATATATGTATAATATGTCAAAATGTATTCTACTCTCATGTATAACTAATTAGAACAAAAACAACAAAAAATAATCAATGTTCTTAGTAAGGTAGCAAGATGGGAAATTAATAGATGGGATGGCATTAAATTAGAGTTTCTGTACAGCAAAGGAGGCAATTAGGAGGATGAACAGAGAACCTATAGAATGGGAGAGAATGTTTGCCAGCTTCTTCTCTGACAGTGGGTTAATATCCAGAATATATGAAGAACTGTAAAAACCACCAAACCCAAAAAACCCATTCAACAAATGAGCAAATAAACTAAACAGATGCTTCTCAAAAGAAGAAATAGAAGTGGCCAACAAACATATGAAAAAATGTACTACATCTTTAGCGATTAGGAAAATGCAAATCAAAATTACCCTGAAATTTTAATCTCACTCCAGTTTGAATGATAGCCATAAAGATACAAATAATAATACATGCTGGGGAGGATGTTTGGGAAAAGAAACATTTTAT